GCCTATGATGATGTTAAATTTCAACATGTAGGCCTATGATGATGTTAAATTTCAACATGTAGGCCTATGATGATGTTAAATTTCAACATGTAGGCCTATGATGATGTTAAATTTCAACATGTAGGCCTATGATGATGTTAAATTTCAACATGTAGGCCTATGATGATGTTAAATTTCAACATGTAGGCCTGTGATGATGTTAAATTTCAACATGTAGGCCTATGATGATGTTATATTTCAACATGTAGGCTTATGATGATGTTATATTTCAACATGTAGGCCTATGATGATGTTAAATTTCAACATGTAGGCCTATGATGATGTTATATTTCAACATGTAGGCCTACGATGATGTTGTTAAAGTTCAACATGTAGGCCTATGATGATGTTATATTTCAACATGTAGGCCTATGATGATGTTAAATTTCAACATGTAGGCCTATGATGATGTTATATTTCAACATGTAGGCCTACGATGATGTTGTTAAAGTTCAACATGTAGGCCTATGATGATGTTATATTTCAACATGTAGGCCTATGATGATGTTAAATTTCAACATGTAGGCCTATGATGATGTTATATTTCAACATGTAGGCCTACGATGATGTTGTTAAAGTTCAACATGTAGGCCTATGATGATGTTATATTTCAACATGTAGGCCTATGATGATGTTAAATTTCAACATGTAGGCCTATGATGATGTTATATTTCAACATGTAGGCCTATGATGATGTTGTTAAAGTTCAACATGTAGGCCTATGATGATGTTAAATTTCAACATGTAGGCCTATGATGATGTTAAATTTCAACATGTAGGCCTATGATGATGTTAAATTTCAACATGTAGGCCTATGATGATGTTATATTTCAACATGTAGGCCTACGATGATGTTGTTAAAGTTCAACATGTAGGCCTACGATGATGTTGTTAAAGTTCAACATGTAGGCCTACGATGATGTTGTTAAAGTTCAACATGTAGCTCTATGATAATGTTTCATAGCTTTTATATCACGTGCAACTCTTTTAGAAGGATTAAAAAAGTTCTTTTTTAAATAAAGTTGTTCTAACTAATAAATAGTTTTAATGAAAAATTATTTTAAAAAACATTAATCTTAAGAAACTACTAAAATGGAAGGATTTGTAAAACCATAACTAGGTCAAGGGACACCTAAATCTTCATTGTTTCTCCGAATAAGTGTTAAATGATTCAAAACTAAATTTAGGTATGCTCCAAAAAGATTTGTAGTAGGCGATTCAATGTTGATTTATAATACATAATTATATCGATTATTATAATTCATATCCACCTATGTATTTAGCTAATGAATTATGTAGTATAGTTTATAGTATTTTTGAAATATTTTTGGGCTATTATTGAATTTATTTAGGATTAACTAAGTATTTTAATTTTATTGGGCTTATCTTATGAATTAGGTTTGGTAGGGTTAGTAAGGGTAGGGCCAGTAGAGGTTAGGGCCAGTAGACGGTAGGGCCAGTCGGTGGTAGGGCGAGTAGGGGGTAGGACCAGTAGGTGGTAGGGCAAGTAGGGGGTAGGGCAAGTAGGGGGTAAGGCCAGTCGGTGGTAGGGCCAGTAGGTGGTAGGGCCAGTAGGTGGTAGGGCCAGTAGGGGGTAGGGCAAGTAGGTGGTAGGGCCAGTCGGTGGTAGGGCCAGTAGGTGGTAGGGCCAGTAGGGGGTAGGGCAAGTAGGCGGTAGGGCCAGTAGGGGGCAGGGCCAGAAGGGGGTAGGGCTGGGCCAGTAGGTGGTAGGGCGAGTAGGTGGTAGGGCCAGTAGGGGGTAGGGCAAGTAGGGGGTAGGGCCAGTAGGTGGTAGGGCCAGTAGGTGGTAGGGCCAGTAGGGGGTAGGGCAAGTAGGTGGTAGGGCCAGTAGGTGGTAGGGCCAGTAGGTGGTAGGGCCAGTAGGGGGTAGTGCCAGTAGGTGGTAGGGCAAGTAGGTGGTAGGGCCAGTAGGGGGTAGGGCAAGTAGGTGGTAGGGCCAGTAGGCGTAAGGCCAGTAGTTGGTAGTGCCATTAGGGGGTAGGGCAAGTAGGTGGTAGTTCTACAGTGCATTGCTTTGCCAAGGACTTCCATTTTTAATTCGGCCCTGGTCACAGGGCACCAAAACAGTATACACCGAGAGGCGGTAAACTCTTGTCCGATAAAGATGAACCAATGAGAACCATGGACCATGAGACAATCTCACTCAAGGAACATGAAATAATATCAACCAGGGAACTTTAACAAATATCAACCAGGGAACATGAAATAATATCAACCAGGCAACATGAAATAATATCCACCAGGGAACATGAAATAATATCCACCAGGGAACATGAAACAATCACACTCGGGGAACATGTCCTGAAATTACCTGAATCCAACTCTTGTCACGTGATTTGGCTCGGAGATGCGTCGCATGGGTTTACAAAAATAAATAAATAATTGGAACAGGATGTGATCCGGTATCAGGTAACTGAACTAACCCTCAGACGATACGATTCGTGAGGTCATACAGGTAACACAACGAGATTTCAGTCGGCGTATCAATGAGATCGGTGGCAGTGACATCCTGTTGACCGTCGTCGTTATTGACCTGTTATCAGGCTTCACGTCACTGCAGGTCTCATCAAGTCTGCAAAACAATGTTTAGTGACGCGCGTTCAGTCAGCGGTTCTCAAGACGATGTTGACTAAATGATTGATCTGATGGAGAAGGATCATTTCACGGTCGATGTAAAAGTCCAGAGATGATTTTTCAAATATGAATTGGTCCGGCGTGTTGAAACTATAAAGCTATATATATATATATATATATATTCTTATGAACATGCCTCTATTTCAGGCCTGCACAATATACGGCCCGCGGGACACATGCGGCCCGCCAGCACCCACTTTGCGGCCCGAGAAGTAACAAAATATTCTTTATTCTTATTACTTTCTTAATAGCTTTCCCCTTGTGCTATTTTCTTTTGGCCCGCACAAGTCCTGTTTATTTTTTTTTTTGCCCCGCAAAAGTTTTTCATAAAGTATTACGGCCCGCCTTACATTTTGAGTTGTACAGGCCTGCTCTATGGCATACGAAAATTTGCGGGCAAGACATTTTATGCCAAAGGATTGTTTGCAATCCTGTTTGTAATGCAACCGATAAAAATATAATTAGACGATAAGACAAATAAATAGTGTGGCATGCTCAAAAGAGATGTGGAGAAACAAAATATTAAAATGGCCACACAAAGTTTAGGACACCATCACATACAATTTTAGAAACTTTGCTTTTTTTTAAAAAATATTTTTAAAAAACGCACGACGAATAACATCCCGTGTCTTACAAACCAGGATGCTAGAGAGGAAACCGAATACTTTCGAGGTCGTTTTTTATTGCTATTTAACTTTGCGTACTCCTATATAAATACGAAGGATGTGCCAAGCCTTCTATATAGGACCCTTTCTTGCGTCCACTGTCCTACTCAATATGTCGGCAACCGCCATCTACGTGTTTGTCATCGTGATATCGTCTGCCCTGTGCCAGGACCCTGTACTGGTGTGCCAGCCTCCAATTTACCAGACAAACTACACCAATTTACTGACAGGGGTAAGTTCCAAACGACACTATTATTTTGACAGGGTTAAGCACTAGGCAAACTACACAAATATGTTGACAGGGTTAAGCACTAGGCAAATACACAATTATTTTGACAGGGTTAAGCACTTGGCAAACTACACAAATATGTTGACAGGGTTAAGCACGAGTCAAACTGCACAAATATGTTGACATGAATAAGCACTGGGCAATCTTCAGAGATACGTTGAAAGGGTTAAGCACTAGGCAAACTACACATATATGTTTACAGGTGTTAGTGCCACAATGCACAATTATGTTGACATGAGTAAGCTCTAGGCAAGCTTCACAAATGCTTCTTACATTGTTAAGCACTAGGCGAACTATACAAATAAGGTGACATGGGTAAGCTCTAGGCAAATTTCACAAATACTTTTTACATTGTTAAGCACTAGGCAAACTATATAAATATGTTGACGTATAAGCAATAAATAAGCGAGATAAATATGCAGCATGGGGTAAAAGAGCTTTGCTATTTCATTAAATTAAGTTAACCGAACGCCTGCAATCCATGTTTCTTATATGTTTTGTTCCTATGACTTCTTCATCACAAAAACTAACCCTCCACACATAAAACACGTTATTAAAAAATACAATTAAAAAAACCTTTGTATTTCGCACACTGCTAACTGAATGTATTGTCATGAGTCATAACAAACCTTTGGCAAAGTTAGTATAAAATATCAGGTGATAATGGAAATAATTGCAAATGTTTCACTGTGCCCTTGTTGGAAATGAGTTCATTAAATATCTACGAACTATTTTTTTTTTAAAATTTGATTCAACCGTGCATCAACTGAATCGTAGAAGGTGGTTAAAAATTACTTCAGACATTTGTTGGTAATCCTATAATAGATTATGTTTTAATAAAATTTAATATAGAAACTAAACCAAAGTCCAAAATGTTATTTGACCATATCGTAACGTCACTTTGCCTAGGACGCTGGCTACATTGCCGTTGACTTCAACAAAGAACTCCTCAGTGAGATATCAACAAAGACTGGTGTCCGGCTGGTGCTGGACTTTAAAAATGTAAGTAAGCTGACCCATCACAATCCTACGACAATTACCCCTCTCCCCCCGGCTAATTTATCATTCATAATAATCATAGAGTTATCTCCCTTTAAATCACTGTCAATCAATCATCATTCACAATTCAGTCACGTCGTCTTTGTTAACTTTCATCTGATCACCAGCTTTCTATTTCGACACCTAATCCTATACATTTATCAATCAAGCTATATTTAATTACTCCCCTTTTCCAGAGTCCTACTTTAATTATTTCCCTTTGTGCCCCATACACTTTCTTTTTAAACTACCACCTATCACCCATCTTAGGCTGTGATCACACTGGCACCGTATTTCACCGACAGCATAGACTGACGTGCGAGACCGATCCGTCGATAGAGATATTCGTCTGACCGTGTGCATGCTCACATTGCAACCGATCACATCAGAATAGTCACTGTTTATCATAAAAGCGATTTGGACCTCCTATCACTAGTGTTAAGCGAAAGTGAAAATGACTGGTGGTTTCAAACCAAAACAAAATAACTTTGTAATGGTTACCACTTGTTTCCAATACCAATCAAATGTAAACCTTGTAGCTAAAAATACTAGGGTGAAGTTTTCTACGATGATATTCTTCTTCTTCTTAATGCTTCTTCTTCTTAATTCTTCTTCTTCTTAATTCTTCTTCTTCTTAATTCTTCTTCTTAATTCTTCTTCTTCTTCTTAATTCTTCTTCCTTTTCTTCTTCTTCTATGTATTACGGGCCCACAATCAATTTATTGAATTGAACCGCCATTTTTTTGGACAAATCTGGCAACAGTAACAAAATGATAGGATTCTGACCAACGGTCATTGGTATACGTCCGCGAAGGACTGACTGTCCTCAATCTTGATTCAGCTAATGTGAGGATATTCATTTTGTAAATGCGCTGGTTTTGTTTTTTCTACCGACTTTGGTCGTGGATGTCAGTCTGAGATGTCGGTGAAATACGGATACAGTGTTATCGCAGCCTCAGTCTAATTACCTCCCATGTTTTACTATCCTCTTATAGTTATTTCCCATCTATTTACTCTTCTCCAGTATGAATACTCCCTTTTCTATTCCCTTAAACTTACCAATTTTTCCCCTCCTCCCTCATGTTTAAATGGCTTCAAATCTTGTAGTGAAACAATGTTACCACCTGGGACTTTCCTTGAGTTTCCACTTCTTTACTTATCCGACCAATTCTATCCTCTGCCAGCTGAGGTCACACGAGATTGCCTCAAATGTTAGCTGTCGGTCTAGCAAACTCCAGCCTTGCAAAATCCAGAACAGATGCCTACCACGTAAGCCGTCATCTGTTTATGTTCGTTCATTGTGTGATGTAGACGGCCAATAATAACTAACCACCCTTAACTTACTACTGAGTCTTGATTATCACGTGATTAAATTCCAGTCACTCCATTTCGTGATCCTAGTGTTTACTGCATGAATTCAAATATCTGTTTCATATGGTCATCCCCTTGATCTGGTGACGCCGATCGTATGCTACATATGAACAATACTCGTTCAAATAGACAGATCTATTCACACATTATGATGGCTTATGGTATACAAGAGAAATCGATCCTTAGACCTTAGAGGGTAATCCTTATGTCATGTCTGAGCACACTGAAACGTCCAGACTTTTAATGACGCACATTTTATCGAGCTAAATTCTGTGCCATCATTCTTGCACGGGCACATAGTGTCGAGTTCACCTCCCCAGTTCCCCTACCCCGTTTCCTCTACACCAGTTCCTCTACCCCAGTTCCTCTACCCCAGTTCCTCTACTCCAGTTCCTATATCCCATTTCCTCTACACCAGTTGCTTTACCCCAGTTCCTCTACCCCAGTTCCTCTACTCCTATTCCTTTACCCCATTTCCCCCATCCTAAGTACCCTCTCCGGACACATGTGATGCTAAATTCGTAAAGCCAATTGTACGACATCTTCAGGAGACTCCAAAAGGACCCCCCCCCCAACCACTACCTATTTTTCAGCGTTTATAACTCAAATTTTGTGTTATTTTGATATATTATCTTCTGAAGATTTAACTCAATGGAATCACAAGGGAGACAAATCCTATAGCTCCGCCAACGCCCTGACCCCTCACACTGTGGCTTACAATGAATATCTTCTTTTGTTTGTACTCTGATTATCCGTTTATAAACCGCTTGTGTCCCGAATTATAAGGAACAAAACACCACGATCTCTCCCCCCCCCCCCCCCCCCCCCAAGCTCACATGCAATGCAAAGTCTTCAACTGCAGTACACAAAACTACTAACCTTTCTAGTGTGTAAGAAACTAATGTAAGGTGTCGGTGAACGGTTAATTGGCTTCTTAAAAAAAAATCTTGTATTTGAGGGGCCCACGATCAATTTGTCGATCATTCTGGCTCCTGGTTTAAATTCAGAGTTTGCCTTCTCATAGGTGGGTTGCCGTCCAAGGCTAACGAGTCCCATCCAACCGGGTCTGCTTGGGATGTTGGCTTTGGTGGGGATTGAACTCCAGCTTTTTATTATCATTATTTTTCTTTGTTTTGTTTTGTATTTCTTGATTCAACAAATTGAACGGTTAAGATTGATTCATTGTTTTTTTTTTGTTTTTTTTTGTTGTTGCTTTGTTTAGTATTTATAACTATGTAAGTTGATAGGAACGGGAGCGAAAAAAGTGCCCCGTTGTTAATTTGTGTACACATTGGCGCTATTAAAGAGACTAAACGACCGGCAGATGGACGAAATAAAACTATAGAAACTGTTTGAACTTTCTGAATTACTTTCAGCCTATGCCAAGCTGGTCAGCACCCTCACTGGCTACGTCGGCAACAACGTTGTAACGAACGGTGGAATTTATTTCCAAACTTGGGAGATTCCCACCGAGTTCGATGTCGTCTACAGGTCGTCGTTCAGTGTCCAGGGTGGTCAGCCATTCTGGCCCACAATGCACCAAGAGTTAGGTAATTGATAGCCCTCCTATAATTTTTTTTTATTACTTTCCTGTAGTCGAGGTTTTAAATGGCAGTAATAGATATAATGAAATGCATAACAGTTATAGCTATGACATCAAAAAACTATAGCAGATGTATGATTTAATGGATACAACACTTCCAAAAAAAAGTCCATGTCAAAACGCAATGGCCCCGACCACTACTAATCTTAGTATCCTAATTTAAGCCACATGATCATAGTCAATCTAGTTAACAACAGAAAGAAAAATAATTATTTAAACACTAAGTGCAAGGAGACTTAAGAAAGAGGCTTTTAGAGTATTCATTAAGATTATATTCTTAATATATCTTATGATTGCTGCATTACAAAAGTATCACCATTTATACCACACATTTCCCTGGTTCTATTATCACCTTTTATATCACACATTTCCCTGGTTCTATTGTCACCATTTATATCACACATTTCCCTGGTTGTATTGTCACCATTTATACACACATTTCCCTGGTTCTATTGTCACCATTTATATCACACATTTCCCTGGTTCTATTGTCACCATTTATATCACACATTTCCCTGGTTCTATTGTCACCATTTATATCACACATTTCCCTGGTCCTATTGTCACAATTTATATCACTCATTTCCCTGGTTCTATTGTCACCATTTATATCACACATTTCCCTGGTTCTATTGCCACCATTTATATTACACATTTCCCTGGTTCTATTGTCACCATTTATATCACACATTTCCGTGGTTCTATTGTCACCATTTATATCACACATTTCCCTGGTTCTATTGTCACCATTTATATCACTCATTTCCCTGGTTCTATTATCACCATTTATATCACACATTTCCCTGGTTCTATTGTCACCATTTATATCACACATTTCCCTGGTTCTATTGTCCCCATTTATATCACACATTTCCCTGGTTCTATTGTCACCATTTATATCACATATTTCCCTGGTTCTATTGTCACCATTTATATCACACATTTCCCTGGTTCTATTGTCACCATTTATATCACACATTTCCCTGGTTCTATTGTCACCATTTATATCACACATTTCCCTGGTTCTATTGTCACCATTTATATCACTCATTTCCCTGGTTCTATTGTCACCATTTATATCACACATTTCCCAGGTTCTATTGTCACCACAAAATGTTCATCCAGTTTTAATTCCTTCCCATAGGTTACCATGGCACCAACAGCATCTACCTGTTCACCAATCCCAAGACTGTGGTCTCAGATCTGAGAGTTTTTGACATTCCCGCTGCATGTAGCGGAGTTTTCAATGCTTCTTCTATACTAACCAAGTAGATGGGTTAAGAGTTTAATGACCAGCAGATGACCGTCAGTCTTTGTTGCTGCTATTTGTACATTCCATCACCATTTCATCGTTTAAATGCCACACTGTTGTGAATGTAATGTTTTACTACACTGTATGTTCTCCGGACCAAAATTTGTGTGTATATATAAATTAAATTAAATCAACTCTTGTCATCAACTATTCTCGCCTACTGTTGCCACCGAAGGAAACCAACTTTTATCACCACCAACTGTTGTCACTAACTGCTGTTACAACTGTTGTCACTAACTGCTGTTACAACTGTTGTCACTAACTGCTGTTACAACTGTTGTCACTAACTGCTGTTACAACTGTTGTCACTAACTGCTGTTACAACTGTTGTCACTAACTGCTGTTACAACTGTTGTCACTAACTGCTGTTACAACTGTTGTCACTAACTGCTGTTACAACTGTTGTCACTAACTGCTGTTACAACTGTTGTCACTAACTGCTGTTACAACTGTTGTCACTAACTGCTGTTACAACTGTTGTCACTAACTGCTGTTACAACTGTTGTCACTAACTGCTGTTACAACTGTTGTCACTAACTGCTGTTACAACTGTTGTCACTAACTGCTGTTACAACTGCTTTTACAACTGCTGCCATCGATTCTTGTCATAAACTGCTGTCATCTACTGCTGACAGCACCTGCCGTCAATAACTGCCGCCATTAATTGTTGTCATAAACTGCTGTCATCAGCTGCTGTCGTCAAGTGCTGCGTCCCCTGCTGTGGAGTCTACACTGTGAAATAAAACCACCACTCTTTAAAGGAGGGAATAGAACAGTGGTCCTACCATCAAACACATTTAAACCGTTTCCTTCACAGCCCTGCTCTCCCATCAAATCTGGAAGTCTTGATAATTATCAGTGAAAACACGACTCATCATTGACTACTGTTGACATCTGTTTGTGATCATTAGACCTTAGAGCCAGTCAACGCTGGACAAGCGTATTGGCTTCAATTTGGCCTGAAGATAAGTCTACTGGTTCATGTGCATTCAAGCGTGAATACTGCTGTTGCCAATTAAATTAGATGTCTTCATTTTTATCAAAAACAATATTTTTTTCAAGTATTTGCCATCGATGTTTCTGTAAATATAAATATGCTTTTTTTTTTTTTAAATTCAAAGAACATAAATTAGAAAAATAAATGGATGTTCATGTTGGTGAGGATGCATTATACAGTTTTATTTTATAAATTAGCTATCTTTCGAATTGTCTGATGTGAGGAGATACTATTTCACGACACATTAAAATCGATATTTTATCTCGTCTTTCAATGAATTATTTTTTGTTTGAAACATTAAAAAAGTATTAGATAATAATAAGAAATATAATTATTTTCTAAAAAATTATTTTTTTAGGAATATAGTTGTATAGCAGGGAAAATGTCAAAATTCCCATATATATATATATATATATATATATTTAAGCCACATCAAATGACTGTACCGGTACAGTTTCCACAACTTAGGGAATAATGCAGGTAGGAAACAACACATAATGATCTAATCACAATAGTGTAGAGCGATACTTAAAAAATACACATAGCTCACAATAAGATATGTTGTCACTCAAGTATGTAAAATTGGTTTTAATATGATGCACACTTCAGGAGGGAGGGAGGGCACTGTGCTAGGAGTTATCTCCTTTTATATATATATATATATATAAGTGTGTGTGTGTTTGTGTGTGTGAATAAAAGATGCTCGGAAAATGGAGTTAAGAAGTACCATTTCATTAAACCTTAAGGAAAATAACACAAGGCAAAAATTGACTTTAACCCTTAATCGTCCGAAATATGTAAAAGTCTGATAAAGATGATGTCTGTTATAGATGATGTCTGTTAAAGATGATGTCTGTTAAAGATGATGTCTGGCATTGGTTCTGTCTTTTATATCAGCTCAGGTCTGTGCCTGAGGGACGTCGAAAGCCAACGAGCCAAATCAAAGGGCGGGCAGGGGTGGATTTCCTTTAAGACCAAACTGAACCATGTCTTGGGGCAACAAACCCCGAGCGGCGCCATAAAATTAGATCATTCGAATTATAATTTCAATATTAAAGAGATTTATTGAATTTAGACTAAAAATAAACCGTACTTACAACAATATGCATAAAATAACATTGGCTGCTTTCAAAGAGACTATTTTGAAAGTTTACCTTTATTAAACGGTTGCTTCACCTGGGTCCCAACTTCTGCAAGTTGTAGGTCTCAATTTTTTGCTTTAACTTTTATATATATATATATATATATATATATATTTTACACAGAGGAGAACTAAACCAACCATTTTTGTTGTGTTAGTATAGGCCAATATTATGGAAACTGCCGCAATGGACTGCGTTGCGTCTGTTATTTCTTGTCACCCCATTTCGTCTATGATCAATGTGTGAGCAATAGGTCCTTTGATTGACTGTTGCCCTTGGTGACCACGTATTGTAGTTTACTTTGTTCCTTTTCTTCCTCCCAATATTTCTATATAGGGGGGGGGAGGGGGGTAAGAGTACGTCAGCTAAATGCACTATATAGAATTGAACCAAATTTTTTCAGGGTTCCACCATCTTATAAAGTGCATAATAATTGATGGTAAGATAAAATATGCCTTGCGTCTTTCAATCCATATCTTTTCGTTAAATGTGTCTGGGGGGGGGGAGGGGGGTAAGAGTACGTCAGCTAAATGCACTATATAGAATTGAACCAAATTTTTTCAGGGTTCCACCATCTTATAAAGTGCATACTAATTGATGGTAAGATAAAATATGCCTTGCGTCTTTCAATCCATATCTTTTCGTTAAATGTGTCCAGAAATTCCACCTACCCCTCGATAGAGTGAAACGTGCCACCAGGGGGCGGGCTGACCCACCCACATGCCCCTCTTCCCAGTCTTTAAATGACCTGAGTCTAAATTCATGTCACGAAAATGTGATGCATACCTTTTTTGTTGGTTTTCTTTACATTTGAACAGATGTGTTTTCATCTCAGGTAACAAAACTAACAAAAAGACCATACGTTTTTGAGGTCATAGAGGTCACACAAAGAAATTTCAGTTGCTATCAGAGGCGTCACTAGGGTCAGAGTCATCAGGTAAAATCATCGTGTCACCAACTCCTTTTATTCCGGAACCCCCCCCCCTGTAAATGCCCCCAAAAAGTCTTAAACACATCATACAGAATTGCTTAAAGTCTTGTTTTGAAATTAAATCCTAAAGCAAAAAACGACATATGAGGAAGACACACATATAATTTGAGGCAATAGCGTTAAAAAATGCAAAACATTTACTTTTTAATGAGACATAAAGCTTTGCTGTTAAAACTTCTATATCCTGGTATTCAAAGAAGCAAATCTCTCAACCACTTCATCAAATCAACATCTTTTCACCTCATCACTTTCAAGATGATGAAATCGCAAGACCAAAAAGCCTGGTATATCGGAAATGGTTCCTTATAATTTCAGATTTTAAAAGCTCCTCACAAATGGAGCTACAGGACACACAGCTCGTGAGAAATCATTGAAGGCTTATTTATATAGAGAATTTAGGAAGTCCCATTCAGCTACCGGTATGATCCTGTATTTAAGTATATGCCAAAACGTGCCAAGTGTACTTGTTCTTATAGCCATTTGAATGTTTTAGCTACTGTTTTTATATTCATTTTTCACATTGTAGTTACTATTCTAGTGTCTCTGGTTTTTCATTTTTATTTTGCTTTAGCAGTTTAAATAGTTTACATATTTATTATTATTGTAAAGCGCTTAGAGCTGTAAGGTAAGCGCTATACAAAAATGCCTAAATAATAATAATCATTTCAAAGCTTGAAATGTTGACGAATTTTCAATTACATCGAGATGAATATCTCCTGCTTTCAGTTGTCTTCACAGCCGTGATGGCATTTCAACTAAATGTTCATTTTCAGATAGCTCAGAAAGTGCTAAGTTTTGGAAAAGACACAAATAACACGTCGTCATTGGCATGTAGTAGACGCGTAGCTTAAACATCCTCAAAATTCTTCCTTGTTGGCTTTTGATTTGATCTGGAGTTCAGAATTCATTAAAAAAAATATTTTTAAAAAAAAAGAAAAAAAAAAAGTCCAATACACTTGAGCATCGCCCTCTTGTTTCTTCTTGCACAGTGAGTTTGGCGTCTCCTGATTTCCCCCTTACCATTTTATCCTTGAACCTCAGTGTTCTCCCTACTGAAATTCTAAATTGGTCTGATTTTTAAGTGCTTTTTTCAATTGTAAGCTTCTACAATTGACTGTGCTTCTCCTGCAGAAAAAAGTCTTTGCGCTACTACCTTGGTCACCCCTTTGTCAAGAGTTAAGCCCTAGTCTGCGGGTATTGTTGAGTAAGATGAAGTGTATCAAGTACATCAGGTCAAAAGTCATGGCTGAAGACACAAAACATGTCTTTAACTTGTTTGAATCCAGCAGGATGATGACTCCAGCGTGTTGTTGATACTCTTTTCACCGAGAATCCAGTGTGTTACAGTTAAAATATCACATCAAAGAACAGGAGCAGACAAGATGGAAACAAATGGTTAAACATGGTGCATCTTCTGTAGAAGATTGTTTGAGTGTTTGACTACAACAAAAGTTAAGGGAACGATCCCCACATCCAAGTAAAGTCGCTCTCTTCTACTTTCTTTTCCGTAGGGGTTTGTAAATGTCCTTGAATTCCACACATTGTGGCAACATCATCGTAATCTTATTCTCGGCACATTATTATGTCCAGTACATCATTTCCCGAGGTTTTTTTAAGAATATCAGAACTAAGTTAATCCATTTTTTTTCTTCTCCATTTAAAGGGAACAATCTTAATTTTTAAAGACACATTCCTTGCTTCAAAATTTCATATCGTGAATTTTCTCATTTAAGATCACTTCGGACATCTATCTCTTCAATATTTGATAGGCTAGATGTACCGTCGAACACGTTTCCAAAATACACTATATAAAGGAAAGGGAGTTCATTGTTTATGTTTTTACTACAGTAACTCCTGAATCGCTTCAGGCGTCACAACTTAGGCTAAGGGACCGATCTTATGGGGAAAAAACAACAACGAATTTATTACTTTTGGAACTTAAAGGTTTCTCATTTAGGTTGTTTTGTTGTTTTTTTTATTATTCCTGGAAAACGGGAATAGAGTTGTCCAATTTCTGGAAAACGGGGATAGAGTTGTCCAATTCCTGGAAAACGGTGATAGAGTTGTCCAATTCCTGGAAAACGGGGATAGAGTTGTCCTATTCCTGGAAAACGGGGATAGAGTTGTCCAATTCCCGGAAAACGGGGATAGAGTTGTCCAATTCCTGGAAAACAGGGATAGAATTGTCCACATCCGGGATTTTCCATGAAATCCAGGGAAAACATTATATTTAATGAGTTGGTTTTTATAGTTGTTTAATTGTATTGTTAGTTGAGAGGTTGGTAGCTTGCTACTAGTTGCCTTCATGTCCCCCCCCCCCACCTTATCCTTGGCAATAGATCTCTAGTTGATCATATCTTTCTTTAGCTAAACTCGTATATAATCTGCTGTAAAAAAAAAACCCCAAAAATTATCAGTTTCACTTTTCTTTTTTTTTTCGTCAGCTTTCTGATTCTAGAATACAATACGCCAATAAAAAATTTACAAGCGAATGTTTTTTAAGAACAAAAACTTGTGGAAATGGGATCATTGAGAATATTTAAAAAAAACAACAACAACCAAACTAGGGAAGTGTTTTTATTTGTTTTTGTTTTACTATAATGAATTTGGATGAAAAAAACACGACATAATATATAGCATTATAAAGTTAGTTTGACACGTGAAGTCTTGGAATCATAAAATGACTAGAGCACACGTTTACAGCCCATGGGAGGTGACCACAGATGGTGCGGCGAAGGGATTTGTGTGGGGGAGGGGCAGTTGCGTAGCGAGGGTGTTTGGCGCCCGGGGACAAGATTCGCGCCCGGGGACAAGATCCATTTTTAGCGCCCCTTTTTCTTTTTTTCAACTCTCAAGCCCATTATTTTCATCAATAAAATAATATCAAAGCCCATTTGGGCGCCCCTAACTAGTTGGCGCCTGGGGACATCTGCCCCCCCCTGCCCCCACCACGCTACGCCTCTGGGGAGGGGGAAACTGGCTGAAATAATCGACTAAAGGAAATGGTGGAAATTTTTGTTTTAAAGTTTAAGTTACAATTTAAATCTTATGAAATATGTCTCCAACTTCATTATATTTGACAAATAGGTTTTAGTATGTTTAACTTTCCAAAAATGTACTCCATATTTATTTTACTTTTTACTTTATTAAAAAGCATTTTTTTCCCCGATAGGTCGAGGTGACGGTCACTTGGCTTTAGTGTGAATGTGGTCGTGACTTGAAAACGATTGAAAATCTGTGTAATTAAGCTACTCACCTACAATATTTTACAGGTCCTGAATTAAAGCGACAATTTTTGACAATCTGTGAACATACTGATGTATCCTGAGTGTGCTAACTTGGAGTTTACAGGGATGGTGAAAGGTCCTGGGAAGACTTTTGATAGCTAAAAACGTGCAGGATCTCGGGATCACGGGAGTGGACCCTGGGTGGCGCCCTATCCTGGTGGCGCCCTATCCTGGTGGCGCCCTATCCTGGTGGCGCCCTATCCTGGTGGCGCCCTATCCTGGTGGCGCCCTATCCTTGTGGAGCCCTGCTCTTGTGCCACTCGGTTCTTGTAGATCTCTATGTCTGGTGGCTTCCTGGTGATACCACGCTCTTTTCTTGAACTTGTGATAGGTGATAAGAGCGACTAGAGAGAATTCGCAAAATATTTCATTCGGTGTCAACCCCCTTGTGAGTGGGATCGACCCGCGCGATCCACCACCCCCTAGTGACGCCACTGGTTGGTGTGTCAATAAGATCGGTGAAAATGACACTCTGATTCCTGTTTTTGTCTTGTTATCAGACGTCACGTCCTTTCCGGTCTGATCAAGTCTGCAAAACAATGTTTAGTGACTCGCGTTTAGTCAGCGGTTCTCAAGAAGATGCTGACTAAATTATTGCGCCGAAGGAGACCGATCATTTCATGGTCGATGTAAAAGTCCAGTGATGATGTTCAAATAAGGATTGGTCCCGACTGCAAATGTCCACAGGACATAAGGAGGTCAAGCCCAGTTTTTCTTTCAAGCACCGCTCGGGTTTGGGGGGGGGCATGCCCCCACCCCCCAACCTCTATCATAAAGTCAACAGCACTAGACCTCTCCCCCCCCCCCCCTCCCTGAAAATATGTACCGCTATGAAACAAAAATACATTGTGTAAAAACGGTATTTGATGATCCGTAAATTTAAATCTAATCTTGTTAGAGGCTTACACTATTAGTTAATACTTATCGTAGTGTTCCGACAATCGGTCACTGCTGATTAAAAGCCATAGTTTGACTTCCTTTTGTTTGCAAATATGGTTATTTTTTACTATTTATCTGATGCAACTTTATCATTCTAAAGATTTAAAATACACTTTTTTTTAAAATACCTTGGATTCAATCTAAAGGTCTACAATTTTGATATTAGTTCTTGCTATGTAATCAAGCGTGTGCACATTAAGTTGGTAATTTGAAAAAAAGTGTCCTCAGCACAACTTTCACCCCCTAAAAAATATCCTATGTCCCAATACAGCCGTAGGATTTGAAGTGCCCACGCGATGGCTTTGATTTCATGTGACACCTCCATCTTTAACCAGCATCTCTCTGTGTATTTGCTTCAACTAAGTGTATTTGCTTCGATGCATTCTAATCAAAGATTTCTGGGGACTATAAAGATAGTAGTGATGAGACTAAGTTAGAACAAAAAGCATACCCTGAGGGGCGCCACAACTGGAGTGAATTTAGTTCATATTTGGCCGGGGGGATTTCGAGATGTGTCTGGTCGTTATTATTGTTAATTTTGGTGTTTCCAAAACTTAAGTCTGAAATGCCGGTTCCCAAACTACCTGAAAGCAACACCAAATTCAAGAATGTGGCGCAATGTTTTCTTGCATTTTAAATTTATCAAAATGTTTCGAAGGGGACCCCTGCCCCCGCTTTTGCTCGAAATTATTCGGGACTCTCAATCCACCCCCCACCCACCACCCCTTATTCCCATAAGCCGGTCAATTTAACAGAACGGGATTAAATTTGGATTTGTGCAAAATGATTACCCTGGGGCGCACCATGACCGGGGTGAATTCAGTTTGTGTATTCTACCGGACAACTATGTCATGGCCCGGGTGTAAAAGGAGGAGGGTAGTCGTGAGGTCAGCTAGGAGGAGGGTAGTCGTGAGGTCAGTTAGGAGGAGGGTGGTCATGAGGTCAGCTAACTCACCCGTAAAAACAAACTGCTACAGAAACGTCAACAAGAAGATAAACCATTTCAGCCCCGTTAAAAGACGGCTCTTCTTCCACAATAAGTTATGAAGCATGGCAGCCAAAGCCAGGCTACACTTGAAGCCCCTAAGGTTGACACGCCTTTCAAAGTTAATAAACATAGGCTCATGGAATGATAGAACCATGTATAACAAACAGGAAAATCTGCACAAGTGGCGGCAGAAATGAGGACATACAAACTCGCAGTGCTTGGCATCTGTGAAGTACAGACTTTCGTAAACAAGACTCAAGCTAAAAAATGAAGAAAAACTAGGAATAGCCGGCTGCTAAACGACTAAAATTCAACATAGCCCTTCTGGCAAACGAGTAGAAGCCATAGGAATGCAGCGTTACCTTGAGAAATTAGGTCCAGGCACTGCCGGACCAAAAAGATGATGACCAGATAAAGCATAAATTGTTAAACATATAGAGGTCTCTGACATCCATTCGCAACTGTGGACCGGTGAAGCAAAAGAACACAAAGAATGTCTCTCACCCAACAGGCTGCAAAAAACAAATATACAAGAGGAAAGAAACGAATGGTGCAGTTTACCACAGCCGCACCAATACAAAGAAAACGAAAGCATAAGAGAAATAGAAAGAAGCAAATCGAAGGGTTAAAAAAAAATCACCAAACAAGATAAAAAATGATTTAATAGATGGTCTTGCATCAACAGCAGAAGAAGCAGCCTGAAATAGAAACAAGAACGAGCTCAATGACATAACAAAACAGCTCTCATGGGGATATAAGAGGACAGGGAGACCGGTTGAAGACTTGGGAGGTCGATCAATAGCAGAACGGAAAGAACAGAAAAAAAAAGATGAGTGGAATACTAAAAAGACCTCCGCCCGCAGACACACCATACATGCACTGGCAAATGAAGACTAACAAATAGAAGAAAGTGCACTAAATAAGGAAGAAATAGCTCTGGCTATCAAGCAGCTCAAAAAACGGGAAAGCATCGGGAATGTATAACATCGCAACAGAGATGATGAGAACATGTATGGATTCAATAATCAATTTGAAAAGATTTGAGGAGAAGAGAGAGTTTAAAAATATTGGGAAGAAGGTGACCTCATCGAGATAAAAAAGAAATGGGATCTCAGCAACCGTGAAACCTGCAGAGGAATAATACTGCTGTCTGTAAAAGAAAAGATTCTTCAATATAATTTTTTTTGAACTAGGTGACCCGCGGCGTAGCATACGCCGCGAGCTTGTTGGGGTGTGCGCATGGCTGGCAAGCGAGGGTGGATATAGCCCGCCAAACATTGGCGACGGCAATGCGTGAACTTCCCATCTACTGAAGTTACTTGACAAAAACGTGAACTCAAGCTACGCACATTTAAGAATGTAAATTTTGCTTCACCCCCTCCCCAACCTTTTTTTTCATGATACGCCACTGCAGACTTTTTATTTCACGCTCAAGAACTATTTAAATATAGCCGACCCACGGCTTAGTGCAGGAGATGGGGGGGGGGGGGGGGGGGGGGGGGGGGCGGTAGCTCCACCGCAGTGCGCATGTCTCGAGACCAACGATGAACAGGCAATGGAAGGGAGGGTAGGATTTGCCTGTGTCTTGCTTGCTCTGGCGTATCTATAAATAGCCTGCATGGTCGTCGTCTTCTTGTTTGTCTTTTGGCGAATTTTATATATAGATATAATGAAGAACCAGGTCGACACGCAGCTTCGAGATCAACAGGCTGGCTTCCGCCGAAACAGATCATGCACAGATCAAATTGCTACACTACGAATCATATTAAAACAGTCTTTCGAAGTTATCGACTACAAAAGGCATGTACACTCACATATGACTTTAAAATGGAAACAGGAGTCTGAGAAGGATGCCTCTTGTTCTCCTTCCTATTCATCCTTGCCAATGACTGGATAATTAAAGAATCCACAGACAAAAAGACTAACGGGATACAGTGGACACCCTTCGAACAACTGAATGACCTTGACTACGTAGAGGACATTGCACTTCTGTCGCACAACCAGCAACAAATACAGGAAGTATATGCAAGGAAATATGGGAGTCAAAAGAGCTGATTCTGCAAACCAAAGTACATAATGATAGAATTATGTCAGATGCACTGTAAATGCATGTAGGGACAGTCAGCATTTGTGGCAGAACAATCACCAACCTACGTATTGCAGATGACATAGATGGACTGACTGGAAACGAAGAAGAGTTATACAATCTCGACACGACTCCATCGTCCTTTGGCGTGCAAATCAGTGCAGAAAATACAAAATTGATGACGAATAACACCACTGGCATCTCCACTGAAATTAAGGTCCGGGAGGAAAGACTAGAGACAGTAGGCAGCTTCAAGTACCTAGGAGCAATAGTCTCGGAAGAAGGCTCCACGCCCGAATAGATGTCCAGTATTGCTCAGACCACAACAGCACTAAAGAGGCTTAAGAAAATATGGAATAACAAAAATATACCCCCCCCCCAGCACCAAAATGAGGCTGATGCGCTCATAAGTCCTCTCCATTCTCGTGTATGCCTCCGAGTCCTGGATGTTAACAGCAGGACTTGAAAGAGAAAATAAAGGCGATGGAGATGAGATTTTTCAAAAACGTTCTTGGATTCTGCTATAGAGACCTTATCTCTAATGAACAAGTGAAAGAAATGACTCGTCAAGCAATGGTGCAATATGATGACCTCCTGGTTACTGTAAAATAGCGCAAACTGGAATGGTATGGCCACGTAACAAGAAAACAAGGGATCGCCAAAGAAACTACGCGGTGCACAACGAGAGGAGGGAGAAGAAGAGGAAGTCCCCTGCATGGTGATATTGTTTTCCGGATAGAGTTCTGAGGGGTCTGACATAACGCCTCTTAATCGACACGCCATAATGGGACCAGTATGCCGACGAGACTGACTTCTTTGAACTAAAAACTTTAAAGATATTTATATATTTGTATGGTCATGTCTCCATGCCATACGAACATTTACGGACAATTCATTTTAGATCAAATTTTTACCAATTGTCCGTTTAAGAAAGACTGGCTATTCTGCTCGTAATGCACACCGAAATTGAACGAGGAAATAAAACAAATGAATAGAGTGGCGCATTCTAAAGAGTAGAAAATAATGCGATTTGGCCGCACACATTTAAATATATCTTTCAACAAAATGACGCCATTACATACAATTTTAGAAACTTTGCTCTTTTTAAAATTATTTTTTAAAAAAGACGCGGTGAAATAAAAGCTTGACAGAACTTATAAAACCAGGATACAATAGATACAATTTATGACTTTCAACTTCCTTTTGTTTTATTGCTAATTGATTTTCCGTACTCCTATATAAATACGAAGCACGTGCCAAGCCTTCTATATAGCACCCTTTCTTGCGTCTACTATCCTCCTCAATATGTCAGCAACCGCCATCTACGTGTTTGTCATCGTGATATCGTCCGCCCTGTGCCAGGACCCTGTACTGGTGTGCCAGCCTCCAATTTACCAGACAAACTACACTAACATACTGACAGGGGTAAGTACTATATGTATAATAAGGAATAAACAATATATTGCCAGGGCAAGTATTAGGCAAACTGCTCAAGTATATGGCATAGGGTAATTATCTTGTGTTTTTTCATTTCTTAAGTTAACCTAGAGCGTAGAGCTCCGTTACGGATAGATTTTATGCTGACGATTTCATTATGCAAATAGAAGAAGATCAAAACAAAATAATTAAAAAAAAAAAAAGACTTTGGATTTTCCCAATACTTCAAGCTATGAAAAATGTTATGTGGTAATGAAGATCATTTAAATTGTTGCTCTGTTCCATTATTCGATTAAAGATCAACTAAATGTGCTCTAAATTTGACCGTTCATAAAACTTAATTTGTTGAAATCGGTAAAGACGACTTTACTAAATTTAAACAGTGATCCACGTGTGAAGGGTAGAAACGAGGCCAAGTTTTCTAGTGCTACGGGACGCAAATAACTTCTAACTTCTAGAGAAAATAAGACCTCACTCAAAAATAAAAATAAAAATTAAAAATTAAAAATAAACAACCTTTTGTATCGCTTAATTAAAGTTATTTGAAAAAACATGCATTAGAATGTATCTATAATTTTAACATAACTTCTAAGATATCAACAGTTGTGAAGCTTTTTATTTCATTTTAATAAAGATTATGTTTCAATAAAATCTAATCCAATAAAGTCCAATATGCTATTTGACCATTTCGTAATGTCACTTTGCCTAGGATGCTGGCTACATTGCCGTTGATTTCAACAAAGAACTCCTCAGTGAGATATCAACAAAGACTGGTGTCCGGCTGGTGCTGGACTTTAAAAATGTAAGTAAGCTGACCCATCACAGTCCTACGAAAGATAAAAGATACCCCCCCTTTTTTTTAAAAAATCCCCCCCCCCCCATTCTTTGTAATCATAGATTTATCTCAATTTAACTCATAGTCAACCGATCATCATTCACAGTTCACAGTAAAAATTTAAGTAAGCTGACCCATCACGGTCTTATGATAGATAAAAGATACCCCCCCTTTTTTTTAAAAAATCCCCCCCCCCCCATTCTTTGTAATCATAGATTTATCTCAATTTAACTCATAGTCAACCGATCATCATTCACAGTTCACAGTTTAGTCACGTTCTCTTTGTTAACTTCTCCTGATCGCCATATTTCGATTCCGACACCTACTCCAACACAATTATCAATCAACCTATTTTCAATTACTCCCATTTTCCACTATCCCACTTTAATTATTTCCCTTTATTCCTTACACACGTTTGTTTTAACTACCACCTATCACCCATCTTAGGCTGTGATCACACTGGCTCCGTATTTCACCGACATCCTAATCTGACTTACGAGTCGGATCTATCTGTGGAGAAATTCGTCTGACACTGTGCTCCGGGTGCAAACGATCGCATCTGAATCTTCTTTTGCTTATCTTGACAACGGCCTTAACCTTCTTTATGACAAGTGTTTAAAGAAGTCAAAATGATTTTTTTTTTTAAAGAAAACAAAATAATACACATTTGTAATTGCCAACAATACTTACCCAAAAAAGTAAATATAAACTTTTTAGCTACAGATATAAAATTCTGGAATGAACACTTGAGTCGAATCACATTTTTAAAAATAAAAATTTAAACAAATTATGGTTTTGGAGCTACAATCGGACAATTCTTGCTACATAAACAAAATGATTTAATTGTGACCGACGGGCGATGGTATACGTTCGCGAAGCACCGACTGTCACCAGTCTTGTTTGAGTAAATGTCAGGCTCTTCGTATTGTTTATGCGTTTGTTTTTCCGACCGAATTCGGTCTTTAATGTCGGTAAAATACGGATCCCGTGTGATCGCAGCCTAGGTCTAATTACCGCCCATGTTTTACTATCCTCTTATAATTGTATCCTATTTATTCATTGCTCGCGAGTATAAATTATTCCCCTCCGTTCCCTTAACACCATCAATTTTTGTCGCCCTGACACGTGTTTAAAAACTATTTAAAACTTGTAATGAAACATTGCTTCCCTTGTGACTTCTCATAGAGTTTACACTTTTTTAGTTATCTGACCAAGTTTGTCCTCTTCCAGCTGAGGTCACACGAGATCGCCTCCAATGTTAGCTGTCGGTCTAGCAGACTCCAGCCTTGCAAAGTCAAGAGCAGATGCCTACCACGTAAGCCGTCAGCTGTACATGTTTGTTTATCGTGTGACGACTAGGGCTAACAAAATAACCACCATTAACTTAGCTCTAGGTCCGGACTATCACGTCATTTTCATTTCAATAACGTTAACTCCATTTCGTGATGCTAATGTGTAGCGCAAGATTTCAAATATCTGTACCATATGATAACTGCCTCGATCTCATTACGCCGATCGCATGCTACAAATGAACATTACTCAAATCATCCGCAGTGTCATCCACGGCAAGATGTGTGCCCGTTGCAATACGGCTCATCTGGGAGGGACGAGTTGGCGTCTTTCAGACAGGTGTACTGAGCACCTTGGTCCTAGGCCCAGTGCTTTTCACGATGTACATTCAGCCCCTGGGCGCAGAGATCAGGCAGTTTGACATGTTGTATCACATGTACGCGGACGATACACAACTTCATCAATCCGTGATACCTTCTCAGTTCCCTCAGCTGCTCAGTATGACACAGAAGACAATGGAGTCGGTTAAGCACTGGATGACGATAAACAAGCTCAAATTAAATGATGATAAGACTGAGCTGCTCCCAATCGCGACCGCTCAGAAGCAAAAATCTGCAAATAACACTACATCCATTACTCTCTCAGGTGTGCGTATTGAGTTAGCTCAAACAGTGCGGTACCTGGGTGTCTACCTAGATGGAAGACTAACTTTTGAAAGTCATATTAACATGCTATGCAAGGCGATTTTTCTAGAGCTGCGCAGGATTAGTCACATCAGGCCCTTCCTAACAATTGATGCAACAAAGAGGCTGATGTCTGCATTTGTGCTATCGCGCATGGACTATTGCAATGCTCTTATGGTGGGTCTTCCAGCTACGCTCCTGGATAAAATTCAAATAGCACAGAATAATGCGGCTCGCATTGTTCTCCGCAAACGCAAGTTTGACCATGCAAAAACACTTCTGAGAGAGCTGCACTGGCTGCCAGTGCGTGCTCGCATGGAGTACAAAATCGCAACTTTGTGCTACCGCTGCTTACATGACCTGGCGCCGTCCTATCTGAAAGAGCTGCTGACGCCTTATGTACCCACTAGAGAGCTCTGCTCATCCGATAGTGGCAAACTCTCGACACCACGTGTTTGCCTTGAGACTTACGGAAAGCGCACTTTCGCATTTGCTGGTCCAACAATTTGGAATGCCCTTCCTGTCGATCTCAGAAACAACCAGACACTGGAGTCCTTTAAAACCGATTTAAAGACACATCTATTTCGCAAACACCTTCTGGGATGATTGTCAACATTATTTTCCAGTTAATGCATAATGGCTGTGTTGCTTATGGTTGAAATGGCTAGAAAGACTTTGCCATTGTATGCTTGTACTTAGTTTTTGTCGTGTTGCGTTTGTTTTAAATGTGGTAAACTATAGATTTGTTTTTTTTTTTTACTTTGTACCGCGCTTCGAGCCTTTGGGGATGAAGCGTGTTTTTGAAATGAACTTTATTATTATTATTATTATTATTCCACAAAATAAACAATGTCACTTTTTGAATTTTTTTTCAGCCTATGCGAAGCCGGTCAGCACCCTCTCTGGCTTCATTGGCAATAGAATTGTTACCAACGGTGGCATTAATTTAACAACTTGGGAGATTCCCACAGAGTTTGACGTCGTACACAGGTCATCTTTCACTTCCCAGGCCAGTCAGCCATTCTGGCCCGCAATGCACCAAGAATTAGGTATTTAATAGCCCTCCAATATTTTTTTTTTAAATTTTCCTGTTGGGTTTTAAATGGCAAAGATATATATAATAATAAAATACACAACACTTATAGCTATGATGGACAAAACAATGAAAGACTAAAGTCATTGTACAATTTTACCGCGGGAAATTTATTAACAGAAGTGTCAGAAGGTCTTGTCAAAACATCGCACTCCTAGCCGCTACTAATCTTTTTTATTCTAATTTAAGCCACACGTCCACAGTCAATCTAGTTAACAGGCAAAATGAAACATTTAAACACTAAGTGCAGGGAGACTTGAAGAAAAAGGATGGTTTAAAGGGTCCACCAAGATTATTATAAATGGAAACATATTCTTAATATATCTTATTAATGTTGTATTACAAAAGTGTCACCAGGGATTTCCTGCTTCTAGTGTCACCATTTATATCAGGATTTCCCAGATTCGAGTGTCACCATTTATATCTGGGTTTCCTAAGTCTATTGTCATTATTTATATCACGCATTTGCAAGGTTCTAGTGTGACCATACACACACACATATATATATATATATATATATATATATATATTACGTGTTTTCCTGGTCACCAAACATTTTTCATCCAGTTTTATTATTCCCATAGGTTACCATGGCACCAACAGCATCTACCTGTTCACCAACCCCAGGGTTGGCATAACCGATTTGAGAGTGTTTAACATTCCCGCTGCTTGCGGTGGAGTTTTCAATGCTTCTTCTGTACTAACCAAGTAGCGGAGTTTAATGACCAGCAGATGACCGACGGTCTTGGTTGCTGCTGTTTGAACATTCTTGTACCCTCTCATGTTTGGAATGCCACCTTACATGTAATAGTTTTAATATTTCACTATATTTTATAATTTTTATAATGCTCTATTGAAAATATTCTTGTTAACATATATTTAATTAAATCAACTCTTGTTATCAATTATGTTCAACTTCTGTCGCCACCGAAAGCTGTAATCAGCTGTTGTAAGAAACTGTTGTCACCACCCGTTCTTGCCACCAACTGCTGTCATCAACTGCTGTCATCAACTGCTGTCATCAACTGCTGTCATCAACTGCTGTCATCAGCTGCTGACAGTCGTATCTGTCACAACTGCTATAATCAAGTGTTGTCATCAAATGCTGCCATCAACATTTGCAACAACTGTTTTAAAATCAAAATTGAAATAAAGAAACCAATCTATAAATGAGCCGATACAGGAGGGGTCCAACTGTTAGATAAATGTAAACAGTTTTCTGCGCAGTTGTGACAGGAGGGGTCCAACTGTTAGATAAATGTAAACAGTTTTCTGCGCAGTTGTGACAGGAGGGGTCCAACTGTTAGATAAATGTAAACAGTTGTCTGCCCAGTTGTGTTCTTGTTTCAAAACCGGAAAGCTTGATAATAATGACTTAAAACAAGATGTATCACTGGACAGTGTGTTAGCTGTTAACGCACATTAGACCTCAGAGCTGGTCAACGCTGGTCGGGCTTATTGGCTTAAATTTGTCAGAGCAGAGGTCCACTGGTTCATTCTATCTCTCACGCCTGATTAATGCTATTGCTGTTTGTGTGAGACATGTCCAGTTTTTTTTTAAATCTCAAACAATATTTTCTTTTGTTTAAGTATTTGCAATCGATGTATCTGTATATTGAAATATGATTTTTGAAAATAAAATATAAATTAGAATGATAACTAGATGTTACTGTCGGTGAGGATGTATTTTAACGTTGTTGTTGTTGTGTTTAACAAATAAGCTCTCAGCTGATTCGTCGGATGTTAAAACATAAAACATCAGGTCACATTCCAAAATAAATTTTAATCTCTTATCTTTAAATTTGTGATGAAAAAAAATATATGTAAACCAAACAGCAAACCCCAAACAGCGAGCCCCAAACAGCAAACCCCAAACAGCAAACCCCAAACAGCAAACCCCAAACAGCGAACCCCAAACAGAAAACCTCAAACAGCAAACCCCAAACAGCAAACACCAAACAGCAAACCCCAAACTGCGAGCCCCAAACAGCAAACCCCATACAGCATACCCCATACAGCAAACCCGAAACAGCAAACCCCATACAGCAAACCCCTTACAGCAAAGCCGAAACAGCAAACCCCATACAGCAAACCCCATACAGCAAACCCCATACAGCAAACCACATACAGCAAACACCAAATAGGAGAAAAAATATAAGATAATGATTAGGAATCAAAATATTTTTATTGAAAAGTCTGTTTTTTTAAGGAATAAAGTTGTATATACGGGCACATGTCACAGTTACCCAAATATATATATGCGTGTAAATAAAAGATGTTCAGAGGATGGGCTCCAGGAACAACATTCCAAGATAGCTTCAAGAAATAAAAGATGTTCAGAGAATGGGCTCCAGGAACAACATTCCATGATAGCTTCAAGAAATAAGAGGTGTTCAGAGAATGGGATCCAGGAACAACATTCCATGATAGCTTCAAGAAATAAAAGGTGTTCAGAGAATGGGCTCCAGGAACAACATTCCATGATAGCTTCAAGAAATAAAAGATGTTCAGAGAATGGGATCCAGGAACAACATTCCATGATAGCTTCAAGAAATAAAAGGTGTTCAGAGAATGGGCTCCAGGAACAACATTCCATGATAGCTTCAAGAAATAAAAGGTGTTCAGAGAATGGGTTTCAGAAATTTCGTGATAGATTATATAAATAAAAGATGTTCAGAGAATGGGCTTCAGAAATACCATTGCATGATAGCTTAAAGAAATGAAAGACAAGGCGAGTTTTGCCTTTGAACCTTATTGATTAAAAATATTATGTTATGTGAGGTCACCTTAAAGATAAGGCATGGGGGTCAGTAAGTCATTTGAGTTAGTTGGAAAAACGTTACTGCAAATCTTTTTCAATATCAAACCTTTGTCGCCAATATCCACCAAGTTAAAATGGAGGCCCTTAATGAAAACCATTGAGAACCATCGATGGATTTGGGGGTCAAATTGTTTATCAATTAGACACGTTATTATGTTATAAACAATTTATTTAGAAAAAGAGCACTTAAAAACAATAATACCACAGTTTACAGGGGTTCTCATTCTAATTTCAAAGCTGTGTACTTCGTTTTTCTTTTCTTCTGTTTGATCAGAATTTAAAGACTTTTTAGTAGTTTTCTTTTTCTTGTTCTTTTGCTTGACCTTCTTCTTTTAAAATTTAGTTAAAGACTTCCTTGCCATCAACTCTGTGAAATTTTATGTTGTTCTGGTTTGAGAACCACTGATAACGTTAAGCCCACTCATAAAATATGACACAACGTAGACATACGGGAAGCACAGACACAGTACCTTGTATAAGACATCAAATCGAAAGCGCATACGTTGACCCACAGATTACAACATAAAGGTCCTCAGTCTAGACATGGACAACATTTATTTTAATTCAAGAAACCATGGACCGACTTTCACTGCCAAATATAATAGTCACGACATCCATTCATAGTAATAATGTCCCTTGAATTGCACCAGCGCAACTTCAGAAACATATTTTACAACTTTTAAATCTGGTGTGGGAATAGATATGTCACAGCTGGTATATAAATGACTAAAATACATCTATTTGTACACAACAATAGCATGATGAATAGAGCTAGAGTAGCGGATTTTGTTTTACAAATAAAACCGAGGAAATTTTGTTTCATGGATGAATTCCACTACAAAATAAATGATTACGGATTATATATATATATATATATATATATANTATATATATATATATATATATATATATATATATATATATATATATAACAAATCTTTTTTTAAAAATCCTTAAGGTTGAAGAGATTAAATTAAATAAATTAATGTAAATGAAGTCGTTTCAACCCTAATTAGAACATTAGAATAAAATATAGGGAAACATTTGCAAAGGACTTACATTGCCAGTACGTCACATTTATTAGCCTTCTGTGGTCTGTTTAAAAGATGGAGAAAAAACATTTGCAAACTACTTGTTTGTTTTTGAAAACATATTTATTATTTTAAAAAAAGAAAACTCCACTTAGATTTAGATATAATTTTAATGGAAATAAAAAGTCGAACTGTCGTGTAATAGATTTAGTGGCACTGATCAAAACCCTTCCGTCAGTGATTCGATGACATTGATCAAATCTTCAGCAGTGGATGAAGTAAAAAAATGAACAAACCATTCTCGATCTGATCACGTGACAGAGGGAGATCGAGGCGTGAAAGGTTTGATTGGTTTGTCATTTCATCAGAAGGGGAGATTCAGCATGACATGACAGTGCCGGTGATGTAATATGGGTTCGAGATTATTTGATCCCGAGCGTCCTGACAGCCACAGAGATTAGGAAACGTGTAACGTGCAAAGCGAGCAGCATAGTGGATAACCTGTATCCCTTTAAACGGATAGGGATCGTTTTGACCCTTTAACGGATTGGGGCGGGGGGGGGGGGGGACAGTTAAGCTCCGTTGAAACGACTGTAAACAATTTAGTCCGTTTAAACGAGTGGGTTGGGGGGGGGGGCAATTTTTTAATGCATACCTACATGGACATGTATTTCGAAAAGAAGCAACAAAAAAAAATGTTCTGGAAATGACGTAGTGCGAGTTTAGTGACGTCTGCACGTGATGACTGGAACAGGCGAGTTGTGCACTACGTAATCACTAACGCTGCCTAGGAACGCCCTCTTTAGTTTGCTCAGTCCCCGTGTTCCGGTAACAATCATGGTGGCGCCCTCTTCGTTCGCTGCTTTCACGATAGCTTCCCCTGGTTTTCCTTTGCCCTTACGTATTTTTCCTTGAATCTGGAAAGTTCAACAAATAAAAAATTATAATCATACTTTTATTTTACACAAATCATATTTAATTTTTAAAATGCATTTAATAAATTTTAAAAAAAATCATACTTTTATTTTACACAAATTATATTTAAATTTTGAAATACATTTAATTAAAAAAATAATTTTTAAAAAAAATCATACTTTTATTTTCCACAAATTATATTTAATTTTTTAAATACATTTAATTAAAAAAAATAATTTTTAAAAAATCATACTTTTATTTTACACAAATTTATTTAATTTTTGAAATACATTTAATAATTTTTAAAAAAAATCATACTCTTATTTTGCACAAACATATTTAATTTTTGAAATACATTTAATTACAAAAATCATACTCTTATTTTATTCAAATTGTATTAATTTTGTAAAAACACTTTTAATACAAAATTAATTTTAAAAATTATACACAATTATAATTAATTTTTTAAATATATTGAATTTTAAAAACATTTTAAAAATCATAATTTTATTTTACACAAATTTTATTTAATTTTTGAAATACATTAAAAAAAAAACAGGAATTTTTAAAAAAAATGGAAATATATGTTTCAATTCATCTTTTGTCATACGCTATTACCGTGCTTGATCAATCACAAATGTCCTCTTTTTCAAGAAATACCGCCAGGCTGTAACTGGATCCATTAATTTCAATAAATATTTAACCTCATTCAGTAGCATTCCATTGACGTTGTAAACCCAACTGATGTAATGACATCTTTCAGGCATCTTTATTTTTACTTATTCCATAACCAACTATAGTCATTTGATCTCTAGCCTTAATTATCCCATACACATCTTATATGCTATAAATAACATTCACCACATAATTTACCCGAAATACCCACGACGACATACATGTTACAAGTGGCCTTCTCACCAAGGCAGTGCAACCGAAGCTAGTCTCATGTACCCAGGAATCAAACTTTTACTATTAATCGATCATCACCCATGAATCCAACGTAGCCTATAATATAACCAACCCCATTAATCTAACTTACCCCGACCCCATTAATATAACTTGATCCATTCACATAATTTACCCCGTTATTTGTAACAGACCCCATTGATCCAACTTAACCCATTATATAACTTAACCCATTAATATAATTTAAACATTAATATAACGTATTGATATAACTTACCCATTAAAATAAATTACACCATGAATATAATTTACCCCATTAATATACAACAGACCACCATTACTTAACCCATTATATAACTTAACCCATTAATATAATTTAAACATTAATATAACGTATTGATATAACTTACCCATTAAAATAAATTACACCATGAATATAATTTACCCCATTAATATACAACAGACCACCATTACCCATTAATATAGCTTACCCCATTAATATAGACCAGACCACCATTAACCATTAATATAACTTACCCCATTAATCTCCATCAGATGTCCAAACTTGTCCTCAATTTTCTTCATTCTCTCGGACATTTCTTTGATTATTTTCGCTGTCCGTGCCGGACCTGGATGGTCAAGAACAGAAAAGTTTCAACAATTAAAACAAAACATTTTATTTTGAATTGCAGGAAGAAATAACAATGAATGCTACAACCGCTCAGTCTAATTTCTTATGTCTTTGACCCACCATATCTTTTTTTTTTACACTGGCACAGGCAAGACTGTTGATTGCACCTGGTCTGCAACTGGCCGATGTTCGGACTAAACTTCCCATTTGAAGACACAAGTGTAGCTATCTTACACAACGCCACTTCAAGATGTGACCATGCCTCACCCCTAAACAGCGGATAGTTATAATAAAATAATGCTTAGGTTTACTATTGGTTCTCTTTCAATATTGCACAAGCTCAGCATTAA